ATTATTAGCGCCATATATCATGTTTTAGCTAACGTACTTTGTTAATTTGACCCGTTTAACCACTGCTTAATTAGCCTATAAGCTTATCTATAGCTCACGCAGACATAAGTTGTTTAATTGTTCAAACTCTTGTCTTGTAATTTAACAAGTTCCCATTAGCACGAAAAGCCTTAGCCACTGTTAGCATTTTGGGTATTTTAGCAACCTGAGGGCACTTTGGGCTTTTAATAAGCGGTTATTTTTAGATTCAATATCTTTTCTCTACTTGTAGGTCAGAAACACAATGATGAAATCTATATTTTATGTGTTAGCTACTGTATTTAGTTGACCCTTTGTGAAATGTTAGATGCTAGCAACCTCATGATAACTTTTGGCTGCTCAATTAGCCTGTTAGCTTATCTATAGCTAACAAATACATCAATTGTTGAAATGTTGAAAGTCTTTACTCGTTATTTAGCTAGTTCCTGTTAGCAGGCTAGGCTTTAGTCGCTATAGAAACCCTCTCGTTGGTTTCTGGTCATAGTGTTTGGAGGTTTGTAAGAGGTGCATTTGGGGAATTTATGATCTTAGCATTAATATTTGGAGCTGCGAGATAATTTGTTGCAGTTCAGAGGTGGAAGGTGAATCTTTAAGCTACATTTGACTAGAGACAAGCCTTAATCTTAGTCAGACAAACATTTTTTCAACAAGTTGTTTGACTGAACGGACCTCTACAACCTTAATGTCTGCACCTGCAAGTGTATAGAGGTTCCAGATGTGCTATAGCTACCTTAAATGGCTAATGCCCTGGGTATGCTCTAAATGGAAAATATTCAAGTTTGCGTACACTACAACAGAGCAGCTTGTATTTTAGGGGCCTAATGGTCAGAATCATGAGCTATAATGCATATGTGTGTCAGCAGAATAATTATACATCTATCATGTTTGAAAATAAGTAATGGCAGCATGTTCAGTGTCGTCGATTGTGCAAATGTGTGCAAATATGTTCCGTATGAGTGTATCTCTGCTCAGTCATTTCGCAAGTGTATTTCCAGAAACCATGTGTGAGTCTCCGTGGTGAACTTCCCTGTGTGTACATGTAGGTGTGTGCACACAGGTGAGCATGCTTGGGAACGAGCTGAGCTTTGATGGCCTTTGTGCTGTCGTAGGAAAAGGCGAATTCTCTCCTCTGAGCGTCTCTGATCTCCTCTGTGACGTCTAGAAGATGCTCTGTCTTCGGTTCTTTCCTCGACCTAAAGAGAGACAAAATGAGATTGAACTCTTTTTGAAAGAATGATGATTATTCACCGTTAGCTAGATTGAAATATATGATACAGTTTGGTTGCAATGACTCATATCTAGATCCAAATTCTGTACTTCATGTAATCTCTACACTTGCAAACCGACGAGTTGCAAACAATAAAAAAGGATTAAATAATGTAAACTTTAAATAAATAACTTTACCAGGGGGAAGTGAAGTCATAGAAGGACATGTTAAGTACATTAAGACCTTATTAGAGTATATAAATAGATACATGTATGACAGTAATCTGTATTGAATTAGTCCTTGTTCACTTAAATTGTCTTTATAGTTGTTATCAGACTTGTGGTATTTTTATTTGTGTAATAGCAAACATTGCAGAGCTCTGCTAATTAGCAAAGTCAACAGACACTACATGAGTGGAGATGTTGTTGTCAGAGATAACACATAGGTTAGTTTAAATATGTTTCATAGCAGACAATCTGGAAACGACCGTGTTATCATGCAATAAATATCAGTGAGACTCAACACATTTGCGTTGTATTAAAATTGACTTTGAGAATAATAAACAAACTCATGTGAATGCATGGTATATACACACAATGTGCATAGCTATACAGACGTGAAGAACATAGTCAACTTAGTATAGTAAGTCTAGCTTCTCCGGATCAAATGAGGGGCTTTCCTTTAGAGCAGGGGTTCCCAACCTTTTTTCCCAAGAGCCCCCCCAAATGACTGCTGACTATTTGGATTCCCGCTGTATGAAGAAATTAAAGGACAGCGCAAGTGGAAACAATTCACAAAGGGATTAAACTGTTTAAAACACATGCTCAAAGTGAGCCGGATTTTGCCGATGTGTTTATGTGGATTCAAAAGTCGTAAATAATCTACAAAATGGAGGAGACCGATCTGATCGGAGCAACTGTGACAAATAATCCAACTGAAACCGGCATGGACAATGACTATAGCCGCGTTCACACCGGAGTACTTTTCCCACTTTAGTTCCGATATAGTTCCGAAAGGTCACGTTCACACCAAAAAGAGCCGGAACTAAAATTAGTTAATGAGAACCTTTTTACCCCCTTTTCCGTCCCTGCTAGAGAGCAGGGACTCTCTTGTGAGAAAAGAGCTATATTTTTGATTGGCTGGGCGGATTGCAAACCACGCCCCGTAAAACTCAAAAAAAGTGTTGTGAAGCCACCATTTTATTATCCTCGCATTAGCATTATTAGCATTAGCATTAGCCCAGCGCAGAAACGCAGAGAGACTAACTTATGGCAACACAAAGGAATGAAAAAAAAATGAAAAAAAAAAAAAAAAAAAATGGTATATTAACATTCCGTTATGTACTAACAGTTATAGTTTGGGAACAGAGATGTAATGTTATTTTATATTTTTTAATAACCGATTTAATTAAAATGATTTTTAATTTCAATCATCGATAAATTTTCCGTATTTTTCTGTCTTTACATAATTAAGAATAATTAAATCCTTTACAAAGAAGACGGGCATTTCATCAGGTTTTTGGTTCCGAAAAAGACCCCCTATTCGGCGTAAAAATTTTGTAATCGCCGAAAGGTGTGGGCGTCATGACAAAGGGTGGTTTCCAAGTACTCTTGAATAAGGGTAGTCTGAGAAAACAAGACTAATTGTTCATGTCTAGCCGCCAAGTGTGGGCCTTATTTAAGGACGCCCCCTAATCCGTTTACTTCTGGCGTACCGCAGTAAGAAGTAAGACGAAACCCCAAATGACACGTCCGCGTTTGTTTGAAGTGCCGCATAAGACGGTGGGCTTCCAGGGCCGGCTTCAGGGGCCTAATCCCTGACCGAAGTCACTTCGACGACCTGAAGGGTCGTCAAGATGACTTCGGAAAGGCCATTTTAGCGGTCTTGCGGCCTGTGGAGGAGTAGAGGTGGCGA